GGTAGGCGTGGTTGACTCTTAACTTTTATAAAGAATATCTCTTTGGATTTGAGACTTTAGTGTTTGCAACTTTACAGACCTTCTTTATGCACCAAGAGCTTGTAACACTCCAAAGAGAAAGGAAAAATTGAAATCGCATCATATGACCCCTTTAAATGAACGTAAACAGTTGAGAAAGAAATCAGATGTGTATCATTATATTGGATGGTCTCTTAAGGGGCCTCACAAATGTGTGGTACTCCACTGTATTACATCAAATTACTGCGAGAGCTATAGAGAGTAAGCTTTCGAATGGCTCTCGCAAGACTTTGATGTCATACACCGATCGGTCTGCGCAGAGCCACTTCTAGTCAAATCAAGGGACTTTGGTCTAACACAACTTATGAAATGTAAGATGACAAATGTGGGGCGAGTGCAATAATTGCATTAAAATCTTTTTTTCCATAACTAACTAATTAATTCGATAATTAATTAGATAAACTTTTAACCCTAACTGATGCAGTGTGTAACTTTTCATTTCTTAATCAACCATGTTCAACACGCACTCACAACATTATTCTAGGATAACAATTGGACCTAAGCTGCGAAACAGTAGGTGCGTTTACATGAAGCATTGTACTCTAATTATAGTCGGTTCAAAAGTCCAATCTGAATGAAAATGCTTTACTGCACAAAGCTTCATGTACTTGTCGACTCCAGCACATCCTAAAGATTTTCAATAGGGTAAAGTCTGCAGGTTCTGTGGTGGCCAATCTTTCACAATTGAAGCCTGATAAATCTTGGTATTGTCATTCTGGAATATAGACACAAGTACATCTTCTGACATGGTTGTTTGAGAAATAAAAATGTATGCACTACATCAGTTAGAGTTAAGAGTTAAAATAATCGTTGCCAAACTTACAACATGCCAGAAACATATTAATCATTGCAATAATGATTCAGTCCTAAAATTTTAAGTATTTACTTATTTAAATCAGACGGCAACTTTTTAATTTATTTATTTCGGCCAGGATTTTAATTAAAAGTATCATCAGAACAGAAATATAACAGTATTGAAATTTGTAAGCTCTTCAGAAAAATAAAGTAATGGTTTTCATCACACTTGATGATAGATTGATTGATTCTCTGTATAGTAAAGGAAATTAGTGATTGTGTGCCTAACAGGAGGCTTATTGGTTAATGTTAATAAGAGTTAAGAATGTCTAAAAAGTTTAGAAATTGAGAAATAACATTAAGTTAAGAATGATAATGTGAGTAATGTGTTTTTTGTTTAGAAGTGAGACTGATATGGGGAGAATAAACACTATTTTCATTTGAAACAAGGTATTAAAAAGCAGAACCACCAAACTATTGGTATGGGTATCACAGATGTCATTCTAAATAATCAGTATCAGTGCCTAAAAATTCCCTAATGAGTGTTGTATGAGAATTAAAGAACTTGGCATTTAGATGCCAAACACCTCGTCTTGGATGTACACTACAGTAGGAAATTTAATTTAAATTTAATTCAAGTAGGAAAAGACTAACATGTTTTATGAAACCAAACCTCGTTCTTAAGCGATATGGGTTAAGTTGTATCGTCAGAATTTCCCATCATGCTTTTAGTTTGTTCAGCTGGTAAACTGAAGCTTCCTCTAAAAACTACACCATCTGGCTCTCACGAGCATTTGATCACAGTATTGAGTCAGAAAGTATTTCTAACCAGCATGCACCTTGTGGTGATCATGTGATCATCTCAGATGAGCTTATTGCTAGTGTGGTGATCTACTGGTTTAGCAACAGGAAATTATTGGAAATTATTTCTGTTTCTACAGATTCTACTTCATGTGTGTGTCTGCAGTGCTGATACACAAAGGTGAGCATCTGAGTGACATATTTAATATTCATGTAAAACATTTACTGGATTGTAATATTTCTAGATTTCTTCTAGTTTTATTTTGTTTATACCCTTGAAAAGGATTTAAACAAGTTAATACATGTTGTATGATGTTTAGCAAAATGTGTCAAATATATTTTGTATTTAAAATTTAACTAAAGTATGTTTTTTTGCCATGAATTGCCAAATAATCTGGCATGGCATTAAAACAAACAAACAAATGTTTATGAATGTTATATTGTGTATTTACAGTTACAGTTTGTGTGATTTAAGTGTGTCTGCAGGTCACAGTAGAGGGTGTTATTAGTGGTTCTGTTGTCCTGCCGTGTTCTTCAACTCAACATGATCATAAACTTCAAGACATTGATGTGTTTTGGAGACACAATGGCAGCAAGATTGTGTATGATATAATCAAGGGTAAAAATTCAGTAGAGCAACAGGAGCCACGATACAAGAACAGAACTGAAACTTTCCTTGAAGAGTATAAGAGAGGAATCTTCAACATCAGACTCACTGCTCTCAATCACGCTGATGCAGGAGAATACACCTGTCTCATCGCACACTCATCTGAACATAAGACTGTGGAGCTGATCATCAACGGTGTGTAGTAATGGTTAATTGATATATTAATAAAAAATAAAGCTCGCTAGTAATGTTCTGTTCATTCTGAATGCTGATGTATAAACATTACAGACAGATCTGTTGCATTTGTCACATTGCAGCTATCTTTCTTTCTTTTTCTTTATTTCTTTCTTTCTTTGCAGAGACAACAACAGAAAATGGAACCAAATCAGCTGATCAAGAAACCCAAAAACCAGAAACAGATGTGGTGACATCGTCGTCTTTGCTCTGGGTTTACATCATAGTAGCTGTATTAATAATGCTTATAGCCGGTTTCGTCATTGGCTGTAGAAAAAAAATTCAAGCTGCTTTATTCTCTCCTGTCTTGACTGAAGATAGAGAACAGTGTCAGAAATAAATGTGTAAAAGTTTCAAAAGTGATTTTAACTAAATTGTTACAGCTTTCATTGTTTCATTCTGGTGTCAGAGACACTGTTTTGTGCTTTTATATTCTTGCTGTTTGCACTGTGTTGCTCTTATTGTATAACAGAATGTGATCTTGAAACAGGAATTTTGTTTAAAATTGAAGGATGAATGATTCTGATAATGTGTTAGTGCCTTAACAATTCTGTTTCTGTTCCACACGTTTTCTTTTCTTTGTTGTGTTTGCAAATATTAAATATATTTTGTATTGTTTATGTATTTTTATTTAATTAATCTGATTCATTAATTCCTGATCCATACAGTTTGCTGAAGATAAACATAAGCATGGTACTCAAGCGTTCCACTATATAGTTCTACATGCTTATTGTATTGTACAAATTGTATTTCCCTGTTGTTTCAAAGGGGTTTTGGAGTGTTACAAGCTGATTGTGCATAGATAAGATCCCTGAAGTTGCAAAGACTAAAGTCTCAAAACCAAAGAGATATTCTTTATCAAAGTTAAGACTCTGCCACACCCCCCTAAAATGGCTCGTTCTAACACGCCCCCACATATCTAGGTCACTATGTGGGAATATTTGCATAATGCGCCCAAATGTGCACGCAAAGAAAGAAGGCGTGGTTTCAGTAACCGCAGTTAGTGTTGATGCAGCCATGTCAGGGAGACGCTGTGTGTTTCTAGGCGAAAGCAAAAGCACTTTATTTGGCCTTCCGAAAGTAGATGCATTTAGGAATCTTTAAGATTACTTACAACAGAACAGCAATGCATTTTATGGACGACCGTTTCGTGAACCTAGGAGAGGAGGTAATTCTGACTTTGCTATGACAATCTGGCGCTTCTGAATCAGCTACTGTTTTGTTATTAGTTTAAGTATTTGCTATTGACTGTTCAAATGCGGAGTTTTGCGCATAGTGTCTGTGTACGTGCGTGCGTGCGTGTGTGTGCGCGCGCACTTGTGTGTGAGAGAGAGGGGGTCACATCACAGTGGAGTCAGCTGTGGCTTGTGTGCTGCAAACACATACCAGCTTCATCACTGTGTGTCACGCGACTCTGTTCCCCTTTCGGGCTCTGGCTTTACATTTATTTTGACAGTCTCTCTCTCTCTCTCTCTCTCCCCATTCAAGTCATTTCAAATAAAGATTTTTAGCATGACTAGTATTGCCAAAGTTTCAGCCATTACAGGACCATACAATGAACAAACCTATGTAATACATAAAATAAAAACATGTAAACTTTTTATGAAGAAATAAGAAATTAAGATCATGTTTAAAAATCTTACATGCAGACATGTTAAGATGTATATTTCTGACTGTAGTTTCCACCGTCTGACTCTGTTTATAGCAGACTTACAGGTACATCTCAAAAAATTAGAATATCATGAAAAAGGTCAATATTTTTTGTCACTCATTTCAGAAAGTGAAACACATATATAGATTCATTACACATAGAGTGAAATATTTCAAGCCTTTATTTCTTGAAATTTTGATGATTATGGCTTACTCAGGCAAAATCCATTCAAGAATTTGGGGGAGCTTCACAAGGAGTGGACTGAAGAGCCACTACGCACAGACGAATCCTAGACATGGGCTACAAATGTCGTATTCCTCTTGTTAAGCCACTCCTGAAACAGAGACGAAGTCAGAAGCGTCTTACCTGGGCTGTGGAGAAAAAGAACTGGACTG